GATAATGGCAAATTTCACCATTTTTCTTCCATTGCCCTATTATCAATCAACACAAGAAATGGACATATATTTATATGTCTTTTTATATATGGTATGAGTTCTTGAATAATAACTATATTTCTTAGTAGCTTTGCTTGCCTAACTTATCCAATTGCCATTTATCTAATTGCCTGTTCCCCACAGATGACCAGTAGCATTTGAGAATGAGAGTGTGAATCATTTAAGAAAGAATCTTTACCGGGCTCTACAGAATCCATGAATGGGATTAATTATATCAAAAAATTTGAGCAAAATTGTATTATATGCCCCCCAAAAAAACCCAATTTTTCTACATGGAGAAACATCTATGAGATTGTAATAACATAATGGTGACTAGTTTTGATACAGAGATAGGGAAGAAGACCTCATTTTAATTTCTTTAAACATTTGAAAGAATATATTCATGAATTACTTGTATAATTAAAATTAATTTTAAGTGGGGCATACATGTATATTTGTCATTTTCTTCTGAAGATAGAGGCCATGTTTTCATATCATAGAAAAAGATATGAATCCCTTATGTTATGTATTTTGACTCTGGAGAAAAATGATGTATTATCTGGTCAGAGATATGCTAGCTTCAGATTGTGTACATTTGAAGTAACTGGGGGATTTCTTTCACTTTATTGTTTTGTTTGTTTTTAATTAATTATACTTGACAGATATAAATATTAAAATAATATTTTGGAGCAGGTATCATTTGTATGTGGTACCTCATTCGTGTTGCTATGCTATGGATCAGAATGTATAGAGGTGAATTTCAACAAAATCTTACAATTGGCTGAGTTGTTGCCATGGTGAATCAAGAGTCTACAGAAGAGGTATGTGCATTGATTATGCTATAAATTTCACTCAAGCAAAATATCAGATTTATTAAGCATAAAGTTATGATAACATATCAAGTATGTCCAGAAAAATAAGAAATAAAATCACTCAAACATTAAATTATTTAGATAAGAAAAAACTTAAATATTTTAAAAGACTACCTTGTGGTTTACATGTGGGAGAATGAGGCTTAGACTAGCTCTTTTAATAAATTAAATTTTATAGACTATTATCAGAGATAGATGGATAGAATTGTAGCATGGTATGTATCAAATACAACTCAGCATCAGACTTTGTTATGGATACCACTGTATGAATCTCTAGATGTCCAAATGCCAACCTAAAGCAACAGAATAAAATTCTCATCAATTTATGAATCTGCAAACTACTAAATACAGTCTATTCCCATTATACATGATGTACTAGTGGCTGAGAAAAGTGACTTTCACACAGCCTGTGGAAACACAGTCCTGTCTATGTAACTCCCTGTTCATAAATCTTACACATCAATTATAATTCACGTGACTATGTCTTTACCAAAGCATCTTACTCAATGGTTTATTCATTGTTATCTAACAGTTATTACTTCTGATTTTGTGCTTTCATTGTAGATTACTACATGAGCTTTAACAACCAATCAAGAGGAAACAAAAATGCTGTTAAGAATTGTATATCTTTCTTTATAGTTAAATATTTTTTTCTTTCTAATTGCCCACTGATCACAGGAAGCATCCCTGACTGATTACGAAATAGTGACTGGAAATAATCTGTGTAAGCATCCATCTCACACATTTTAAGCCCTTACCTTTATTTTGAGGCAACTCTTTTGTTTGGGGCCAAATAATCAAAATATAGTAGTTGCCTAAATCCTTAGTGCACTACTCCTAGATAAAAAGATTATGATTTCAAGGTCTCTCCATATAAAAGTAATCCCTTCATAGTGCAGCTTTTATTTCCATTGAATTTTAAATTTAATTCAGAAATCTTATAATAATGATATCAATACATTGAAAAAGCTTTATGGCACCGATCAAAACATAGCCTGATAATATAGACCATATGTATCCTGACAGGTTAATTATTGCAAATCTCATTTGATATTCATAAGTAATACAGATTTTTAATTAATAAATTACTAAAGAGATTAATAATTTTCTACCTGGCTTCCCTCTGCATCTCCCTGGAGTTTCTTTGGAAAGTAAGAATTGATATTATTATTACCAAAAATATAAGGAAATAAACCTATTGACTCAGACTGGCACACAGCTTCCTATGGTCTGGCCTCGATCACTCTTTCCCTTCTTATCTTCCTCTCACACACCTACACACCAGAAAATAGAAGAGCCTACTCTTCCTGGAACACACCCCATCCCGTCCCATTTCTTTGCCTTAATCCATGATGCCTGAAAGGCTCTCTTTTCTCACACCCTCCTCTGCCAGTCTGTGTATCCAGTATAAACTGCTCATATTTATTTAATGCTTACTACATGCCATCCATTTTGCTGAGGCCATTACAATCAGCCCTTCATCTCACTCAGTTCCATATCCTCAAATTCAACCAACCTCTACTTGAAAATATTAGAAAAAAATACAAACAAAAAACCAATACAATAATAAAGAAAAACAAATAAAAATACAGTAGAAAAACCCTTTACATAACGTTTACATTGTATTGGTATTATAAGTATTATAAGTAATCTAGAGATGATTTAAAGTATATAGAGGGGTGTGCCTAGGCTATATGCAAATATTTTGCCATTTTATATAAGGGACTTGAGCATCCATGGATTTTGGTGGGAGTCCTGGAACCAATCTCTTGTGGATTGAGAGGGCCAGTTGTATTTAATTTGTGCCTTATAACAACCCTATTTTACAGATGAAGACACTTTGGCTAGTTACCCAACTAGTAAGTGGTAGATCTGGGATTTGCAACCAGGTAGTCTGACTTCAGATCTTACACTCTGATACATTAATTAACACTGTGGAATATTAATTCTAAGTCCCAGTAAACTTCCAAGATCAACAGTAAAATAATACTTCTTTCATGGATAATTCGTTGACCACCTCAACCTTTCTCCCCTCTTTCTGTCCCTATATCTTTCTGAGGTCATGCTCTAACTTCTTACCACTGACAAAGTTAGTGATATACCCATCATATTTCCTCTATTAGGCAGTACCCTTTTGAGAACAGTGCTCTGCTTCATCTTTGTAGTCTCTGTAGTAAGTAGTAAAATGCCTTTCACATGCTAAGCCCTCTATAAAGATTGGTTATATAAATTCATCATTCAAGGAATTGAGATAGTTCGGACTTTACCACAAAGGACTTCCCCCAAATAATTTTTAAAACCAGAATTTTGCTTACTCTGAACAACCATAATACTAAATAGTCTGGGAAGGTAGAAAAAGTTACCTAATTATTTTTCTTACATGATACCAAGCCAAAGTAACTCTTTTTTTTATTCTTAAAGATAAACTGGATACTTTAATATTATTTAGAGACAACCTAATCTCATTCATTCAATTTGTTGAATTTCAGGGGGGGTTTGACTTGAGTGTAGTTGAGCCTTCTCCCTGTTAAGCCATCAAAAGATCACCTTTTCTCCTCCATGTTCTAAATACTGATATTATAATTCATTTTGACAGTTATCCAATAGAAGTTTTAAAGTCTTATTTCTGTTTATATAACAACAAGAATAATAACTCCAACTCTCAAAATAATTACTATGGCACACAAGATGAAGAATTGTCAGATCTAAAATGTGTCTTTTATCTTTTCAAACTCAAATATAATAAACACACTGGCAAAAATTATATAATAAAGGACAAGGTAATTATTTGGAGGTGGATTGTAACTTATTGAATTCAGAACAAGGATTCTTGGATGAATTCAATGTTAGAATTGAATACTATTTTTCTTTTCTTTTAAGTTCTGCAATTTAAAAACATTTATCTCACTTAGAAAAATTAACATATAAAAACTAATTATCCAAAGTATAATTTCACCAGTCTTAAGAATGTTAGAGCATTTCTCAAAAATGAATTACTTTGGGATGATTTTTCTTGAACTCCTAAATTATCATTTTCTTTTAGTAACTTAAAGCTTAAGTAATTAAACCATGATCGTTAAATATATTATGAATTATCAGTGACAGAGTAACCTCATATTAAATTATCTTGAAACATAGGATCATGTTAGAGACTCAGAAATGCATGGCAGCTATATAATTTAAAGGAGAGAGAAAAGCTGTTTTTCACAATTGGGTCCACACTAGCAATAGTGCTGAATTATTTTGTTGATCCTTGGTGGAAGGAATGGGTCTCTAAGGCTTACCTAGAAATTTACCCTAAGTAAATAAACAAGAAGCTTGTTGAGTATGCCATCTGACATAGAGAAAACTATGGCAGTTTCTCTGAGAAGTTAGGTACTGTTTAAGCTGAATTATTCTTCAATTAGAACGTTGTTGTATATCTTACCGTTTGTTGTTTGTCTCTAACTTATTGTCTAGAATTTACAAAAGAGTTTTCAGAGGTGAAGTATCAGACAGCTAGCAAGGGAAAATTAAATACAATGTTTTCAGGAATGAAATGCACCCAAATCCTTCCTTTCACACTCACACCACTTTTCTCTTTTTGTCGTATTGGTGTTGCCTTTGGTGTACCTTGGGCACTGTTGCCCAGAGACAAATGCATAACTGGTCCTGCTTGTTCCCTGGTACAGAAAAATGATATAACACTCTCATTTTGATTTTCCTTGTAAAAGGAAACAAAGACTAAGTGAATCTGCCCTTGACAGGTGTGACCTCTCCGCCCCCGCCCCCACCCCACGTCAATCAGCATCACTGAGTAGCCCTTTGCAGAATCAGCCAGTGGAAACTGAACCTCCACTCCTCCAACTTTAAACAAAGCCATTTCATTTGATCTTAAGCCCAGGTAAGAAAAAAAAAAAAAAAAAACACTAATAAATAAAAGGACAACATAAAGAAACATAGCTTGCCAACAAGAACCTACATGCAAGCCAGAGGACATTTATGATTTTGTTTCCCAGGGAGAGAGCGACTAAAGCACGCACACTGACCATCACCGTAAAGAGGTAAAGAGAGTGAAATGGCTCAACGTACACACACCCCGCTCCATACCGGGGACGAGTCTCCAAGCTGCGGCTTGTGCTCTCGGAGGGCCAGGCTGAAGCTGACCGCCCCCACGGCCACGCTGGACACCCCCAGCCCTATCTCCAGCACAGAGAGCACCAAGAGGCTCCCAATAATCTGGCCGCTGGTGCACATCCTTCCTCGGTCATCATTCCTTCCAGATCAGAGAGGGAAACCAACCATCCACCTTTTTTTCTTCCTATCCTTCTTACCCCTTCCACCCCCTACCAAATCCCAAAACTTTTCTTTCTTCACCAGCAAGGCATTATCCACAGGACCAGATTTCCAGAAACGGAGACCCTCTTCTCTGACCAGGCCAGGGACGAAAGAGCTGCTCCACCCCCTGGCACGTTCAGACAGGGACCGTAGAAGGGTCTTCTTGGGGTTGGTGGTGAGAGTCCAGGAGAAGAGAGCACACCAGTGGCAGGGCTTTTAAGAAGGAACCAGAAACCCCGAGGAGCCCAGGGAGCCCCGAGCCGGCTCGCGAGGCGCTGTCCAGAGTTCCGCCGCGTCCCAAACCTCCGCAAGGAAACGCCGCTCCCTCCTACCCTCCCAGACCTTTCCAGGATCCTCTCTCTTTCCTTGCGAAGGAGATGAGCTTCGCTCCCTGGAGCTCCGAGGGGACACTGCTCGGAGCTTCTCTGTCCCTCGCCCTCCCGTCTCCTCGCCTTTGTTTTCGCGGTAATGCAAAGTGCTCCTGCAGGTCTGTCGGTCCCCAGGCGAGCGGGCGGATGGTATTCAGCGCCACGCTCCTCGCAGTTGCTGTGTCGCCAGAAAAAGCGACCTTGTCTGATGGCCTCTTTCCGTCTGGGTTTCTTCTCCCTCGTCGTCGTCCTCTTCCTCCCCCTCTCTCTTGATCTGATTCTCTCTCATTGCTATGACCTCATAGGGATTTAGGAGGTTGACGGAGGAGGCAAAAGCCTGATGTATTTGTGCATGTAAGACCAACACTCGTGGCTGGCCTTTGATCCGCCCCGCCCCCGGACCCGACCCTAACCACAGGAATCCAAGCGATCCCTACCTCTGCATCTCCCCCATTCGCTCCCTTCTGGGCTTCTATCCAGCCGAGAGGGGAGGCGATGCCTACGTCAACGCGGGGCTCATTCTGTGCAAAACTTTCTTCCTAGTCGCTGTGTACTGGGGTGAGGGGAGCAGTGAGCAAAGAAAGGCAGAGCGCAGAGAAAAGGCAGACTCCTAATTTCACTAGGACTCCCAGGGACCCTCACCAAGGACTCCTGTCTAGAATCGCTAGCTCCAAGCTTACGCACAAGGAGCGTCCACTGCTGCTACCACGACCTGCCACCTCTGCGTCTGAGGGGGAGGAAGCTTTAGGCTGGGGCCGCACTTCTGCGGTGATGATGTTTCTCCCCAGCCCGCAGACTCTTGCTTTCCTAGAAGCTTTGCCAAATGTTCTGGGATGGATAGACCCAGCTCAGCTGGAACCGTGTATTCTCAGGCAAAGTCAAATGATGTGTATGCATAGGAAAAGGCATTATTTAAAAGAAATAAATCTGGCTCAATGCACAACTGTTTTTGATAGTCTTCTCTCATCAGAATTATTAGGGCAGCAGCCATGCCAACTTGGCTTGGGTATTTTGGTGTTGTCCTCTTTGATTTATATGAGACCCTAGATGGCTAGAAATCGCTGCGTTTGGACCCCATTTTCATTTCCCTGATTTTTGCTTTATGAAAAATCTCAAGACATTCTACCAAGGAGATCTAGGAAGTGGGAAGATAAGGAGAGGTTTTGGGGTGTGGGTCATCTCTCTCAAAAACTGGGTTCTCCAGATGGAGATGGACTGAAGGAAAACAGAAGGGAGGATGAGGTTAGGGAACATTAACACCAGACTAGGGTATCTTGAACTCTAAACACATGCAGATCAGCGCCATGCAGGTGCCTCTGGGATTAGAGGCTTCTTTTTAAAGCCCCCATGATGAGAACATAAAAGGTGAGCAAGCTGTAGCATAAGTTTTGTAGCTGAAGTGGCAGTTTCAGTTTTCTTAAATTTGATCTGGGGCTGGTTTGATAGTTTAAATTCAATTCTACATTATAATTTATTTTCTTTGACGTATCGGTATTTTGCAATTAAAAAAATTTAAGTCCTCTGCCTTTAAAAACAAACAAACAAACAAAAAGCAAGAAAGAAGAGTTACAATTTATTAGGCCTTAAAGAGTCTTCAGTTATTGTGATATTTGGAGAACGACTTAAACATTTATATTGAATGGTAATTAATGGATTTGCTTTATACTTCTCGAAATCTGGCCCATCAAATAGCCAGTTACTAGAATTCTTCAAATGGTTATGGCTTTAATGAAGCATGGTTAATTTTATTTAAATGTCATAGAAGTCATCTAAATGATCCAATTTATGTGCAGAAATAATGAAGCATCTATGTTGCCTAAACTTTGGTTGTCTTTAGTCACTGCTTTTCGTTTTAATTATTTTTCCCCTTTAGAAAGAGAACAAATATAGTAATTATTAAAATAAATTGATTAATGCAGAAATATAGGAAAGAGAGAACTTATAAGAAGGAAAATTAATTTTTGTAGAGAACATAAGGATGGAGTTAACAATAGATGAATTTCAGAGTAAAAGAACTGAACAAATCATGTATTATCGTTGAATTTTCATCTCTAATTATAATAGATAGAAATGAGTTTACTTAAATACCTCAGAGTCTAATCATATGGCTGAATATAGCCAATCTTGGTTAAGTCTGGATCATTGGTGCAAAATCCAAAACTTTTGAAAATTAAATTGTACATAGGAGAAATCAAACCCATCTTCATTTATAAGTAAATACCAATGACTCATAATAAAACAAAAATATTTTTAGAAATAAAATTAAAAACAATCATTTTCCATGGAAGAAATTACTGTTTTGTGTTTTAAAACATGAGTATCCATGTTAGAATTTTCAAAAGAATTTTACCTTACCTTTACTGGGACACAAAATATATTTTGCTTGCCTTTTAAAGTGGTGTAAAGATCCTCCCAAACTAAATGCAAATATATCTAAAATTTCCTCATAGTTGTGGAAATTAAGAACAAAAATGGGTTCAAACTAGCAAAATTATTTATGATTGTTATTATTAAAATTATCCTCCAAAATTATTTTTTAGAGAAAGAATTATAGGATAAAACCATAAATCAATAGAAAATTACATAAAGTACATTGCTATCCAAATACCACTGGCTCCACGATTTGAAGATTTAATTTTGTTTTTATGCCATAGTACACCAAAATAGCTATTCATGAGATCCATTGATAGACGGATGATTCAATATTTCTACAACTTCAACAAGAGCAATTGTACAAAAAAATCTCAAGTTTGCCACCTGCTGGTTTGTACATGATACAAATGAATGCGTGGGTAGCTTCAAAATCATTCTTACTAAACTCCTCAACTAATAAAACATCTTCATAATTCATCTGTTTAGGGACCTAAGTACTATCAATAAGTATTCAAGGGTTCTGAGGTCCTTATGCACGCATTTATCCAAATTTTAATATCTGAATAGAGAAATAAATGAATTTTAATATCTGGATAAAGGAAAATCCAGAAATTGGTAGACAAATACCTCCTGTCTTAATATGATAAAGTAAGTTGACAAAATGATCAATGCAGTCACTAATATAGCATTAGTTATTGAAAAGACTAAAAATTTTAAATGATTAATTTTGAGATCTGATTTAAAGTGTCTAAGCTATTATAAACCAAATTTATATGGTGACCCTAGGTACTGGAATGAATATTCAATGTAATACAAAAAAATTAAGAAAAAGAAAAACCACAAAATGATGTCAATCATTTAGCAGTTTGTAATACTGAAAATCCATTTAATATTTTAATACTCTTGTCAGTGTGGTTAAAAGGGATTATAATTAAAAATTTACCTAGGGTTTGATGAAGTAGTTTTTGTAAAAGGATAAGAAGTGGCAACATTTTGAGGGTTTTTTTTCTTAACAGCCAAGGAGCAGAAATAATAAAACCTGAATTTATCTTCTGCCTTTTCTTCACTTTTAGTGGTAATACAGCTCAGAAGTCAGTATCCAAAAGTAACTTCAGTATTTGTGAAAATTAATTAGAGAAAGTTTAATAGTTAATACTACATGTAAGTAGCACAATTTCCATTTATATTTTCTGATTACTACTAACCTTTAAATATGTAAAAAACATGTGTATAGTTTATAGTGATTTCTAATTTTTAATAAAGAGTGTGGGTACTTTCACTCCTGGCATTATGAAGAAAGTCAGACTAGATTTACTCTCCAATTATTTACAAAATATAAAAATAGTTTTCAATTGACTTCCATTTTGTATTGCTGCCATAGATTTTAGTTGTAAATACGTTATAAGTGCCAAAATATATTA